ACCTGACTAGTTCTTTTTCATAGATGAATTGGGAATATATATTATATATTGATCTAAAAAATAAAGTGAGCTAACTAAGTCTCAATACTTCTAATAAATAAAATGAAACTACTGCATTGAAAACCATATTAAAAACTGTAACTAAATTTAGCTACCTTAAGTCAACCCTGCAGACATCTACAGGCATGCGTGGCCTATGCTGGCAGAAACCATATACTTTGTGCTAAAAAATTATTTCATAATCAAGCTAATGAACATCCCAAATCTGTTTCTACTGGTACCAGAAGTATTATTGTCTTACAATATCCAGCAGTAATTATTCACAACAGTATCCATAAAGCCACCTAGGTACCTTAAATACAAACAGATTTTGTTTGGCACATTGAAACAAACAAAGAAAAAATCCTAAAACGTACAGAATTTATTTTATATATATATATATATGCACATTGCATATGCATATGCTGTATAAAGCTGTGGTTCCATATGCTATACTTTAGAAAGATAAACTGTTTTACAGCCATGCCATAATGAATACTGTATTAAGCAGGGAAAAGAAGGAGAAAAAAAGCACATACTTCTTTTTTAAATTGTGAGTATGGGTTTCTTTCTTCCTAACCTAAACTCCGCCTACTGTTTACTACTGATGTCTGAAATGACACTCAGACACATATTCCTGTGTTAGCCAGACTCCTTCTTCCTTTAGAAGAAACACACCTGTTTATAACCAAAGCTGCATGTTATGACACATCAGTCTTGCTTTGGTTGTCAGTATCTGCCTTCTTTACCTTCTCTCAGGTGTCATCACGAGAACTTTAGTATTGTCTTCAACTGCTCCCCTTCCAAATTATGTTAATTATCTTTCATTTAATAATTGAAGTCTGTGAAAGTATACCTAGACAAACTGAGAACTGTCTCTAACCAAACCTTGTAGCTTTGTGAGTTAAATCATCCAAGACAAGCAGAGAATGGAAATAAGTTTAGGCCACAAAGTTGCAAAGATTTATGTATGTGCTAACCCGAAGCTTTGTGAATAGTCCTGTTGACTTCAGAGGGATTACTTATAGTCTATGAAGTTAAGCAATCTGTGTAAGTGATTGCAAAATTGAAACCTTAGATAGATTGTAATTGGATTTTGAAAAAGGCTCAGAAATTGAATACACAGCTATAAATCACATGTCCTCGAAGAGTTATAAATCACAAAAAAGGAATGTTTGAAATATAATTATGTTTCTTAGCAGCTCAGCTGTATGTGGACTAATGAATAGAATAAGATTAATTTTAAATTATCACAGATCATTAAATGTAAAGTCTCTGATGCATGTTGTATAAGTCAAAAGATATGAATCTTTGAAGGCATCCTTTTATTTACTTTCTTGTTACAACTCTAGCTACGATAAGTAAATTACCTGTGTGACACAGAGAAAGGAAGTTTATCAAATATTAAAGCCAGGTAAAGATCAAAGATGCATCCTACAAATACGCCTAATAATTGGGATAGAAACAGTATAAAATGAGTGCATTACCAGCCATATCGTGCGGGATATTTGGAGAGGACACGTACTTCGTTTTAATTAGCTGTCTGTTTCACTGGGTTGCTTGGCCAAAGCCTCCTGATAAAGAAAAAAAATTGTAGCCATTGGTCAAAATGCTTGTAACAAATCTTGTTTTAAATTGAAGCTATTTATTCAGAAACCAATCTACTACTGCAGCAGTAATCAATGTGTTTTCCCTTGGAGTAGAACTGTTCCTGTGTTACTGGAGGACTATTGTTAATTGCCTGTAACTAAATGATTGCTGTGCTTCTGGATGTAACTCCCTGGCACTCACTCATTTGTTGTGTTTAACAGAATGCCTGTCCCCCTAAGGGTTAGCCAAGTAATTTTCCTCTACTATTTTCTACGTTCAGCCTCAGCTCCTTAAGGAGGGTCAGGTCTGTAATTTGAGCAACGTAACACAGAGTCTAAATAGATTTTAAAAGGTTTGCACTTTTTGTCTCTCCCCTCTGATGTGGAATTGTGCTGAAATTGAATCTTTTTAGCATGGAGCCACTACAGGAAACTTGAAAGAGGTTAATCCCTGCTGCAGCAACTGTGCTCAAATCGCAATGCAAAAGGCAGAATAAAGCGGCAGAATAAAGCAGCAGAAAAAATTGTTATTGCGAAGGTGGCCTTACACTCTAACATTGCTGTTACACTGTAACTTAGCTTTAACAGTCACTATGTCATTGTTGACATACACATCACCAACACCCTTGGCGTTCACAGAGCACCTTTCAGGAGCAACCCCTCCCGTGATGCACCCTCCCCAGTTCACACTGGGAAAACTGAGGCACAGAAATGTGAAATGGCTTCAGTTGTGCAAGGGGCCGATAGCAGAGGCAGGACCAAGCCTTCCTCTCCTCACACCTTCAGTTCAGCGCAACACAGGGTAATGCTGTTCACAAAATCCCTGAGGCAGCTCAAAGCCAGCCAGTGCCCCCATGGGGCATGGTTTAGCATCCTGCAGAAACACTAACTCAAGGCCTGAAAGCAATAAGCTTGGTGTGGCACTGTGCCTTCCTTGGCACTGCACAGACACGGCTGCCCCACTTCCAGTGCTTTGGGGGTTAGCTCAGACATTTGCAGAGGCGGGTGTAAGGCTGCAGCAGTCTGCCAGGCTAATCACTGCTCCTCTCTGCCTCTGGACCCTGACAAATAGCACCCAAGACAGAGAGTGAACATGTGCTGATAGATGTTGTCCAGCACAGAGGAAAATACAAGCTTGCTGTGCTAGATGGGTAGATCATGAAACTTACTTTACAAACAAATCTGTTTAAGAAAGAACCACCTTATCCTTGTGCTTATAAGTGACCACAATGGGCTCAGCAGCAGCATATAAAAAGGCAATTTCTGGTACGTTTCAGGATGACAGAGAATTTTGTTGTTTGCTTTGGTTGCCTAATTTAGGATAGTTTCATGTGTGTTCAGATAAACTTTATTGAGGTAAAAATATAGGCATAATCTTGAATTATTTTATGGGGAAAAAGATAAATAAGGGGGATTCTTTGATGGCAGAAGTGATGCAGTGCATTAGTCTGATTTCATGCACAGTGACAGAGAACAGATGACTACCTGCAGTTATTTTTTCCATTTAATCTCAAAATCATTAATTTAGGAAAAACTTTTGTTTTCCAGTCCGAAGGTTTTTCCTTGCCTTTAATGAGTCATAACAGCAGGCATATAAATAGAGTATTTTGTGCCTAGCAACCCGAAGTATTAAAGCCTTTCTTCTAGTTAACATTGAACAGCTGCATCACCTGTAGTACAAAATGATAAACAGAGTATAGTAAGCCAGTGCAGAGTAATTTCCATTTCCATTTATATTCTAAAATACTGTATTACTTGTCTATGCAAACATTTTTTTCTTGGGTGTTTTTAATAACATTCCCCTCTCTGGACCAGAAAATTATTGAAAGTAGGAAATAACCATGCCGGTCTAAAAATATCTAACATAAAGGAGTTTCCAGCACAGTTTTGGAGAGAATGACATGGAATATAAATGCTTTTTTATTTTATCTTATTACACTTTTAGTGTCTTCCAGAGAGCAATGAAATCTTCTTATAGTTGCCTCAAAATAATAAAAAAGTGTGTGATTCTCAGTAGACGCAGTCAAAATAAATGGAATTGTCACTTTTTCCTCTAACCTTTTATTTCTCTAATTGAATTGTATTGTGTTGGAGTAACATATCTACATAATCACACACACAAAAAAAAGGGTTACTTCAGGGTTACCCTACTTCACTCAGACAGAAGCTGGCCACTGGAAGAGGATACTGTGAAAATAACACGGAACTGAGCTTTCTCCAGCATAGATTTTTATGAAGCAAACTGTATATCTTGGATTTCCAAGATTTGATTTCTTGGCATTCCTCAAAACTGAGTAATAGTGGAAAAGTATGGGTGGTCTTAAGATATATGCCATTTATTACTCATTTCAAATTGCAGCATTGTTAGTAATGATCTTCCTCCTCCCACCTTTCTTTTTTAACATTGCCAGTTTTCAGTCAATAAGTAAATGAAAAGTAACAACAAAATGGGTGCCATGTAACTGTGTGAGCTTCCTTGAGCATGCAATGGTTAAGACTGGGGGGTGAAAGTCCATGATGGCATATTACTTATGCACTGGTAAGTGGCCCCACTGAGGATACTGCTGGTGGTAGACAGTTGTGGCCACATTTGACCAGAGTCCCTGTCCTCAGGAACAGAGCTACTGGGCAAGGCTCTCAATTCATCATGTGAGTCTCCAGTGGCAGAGTGCAGCGAAGACACCAGGGGGTCACAGTCTGAATGGGAATGTCAGAGCGCACAAATCGGGATGGTTTGCCAAGCCCACTGGGGGAAAGGGGAGAATAAAGATCAACTGCAGATTGTTGGGAAACTGTGTCAAAGATATTAACACATAACTGAGATGTGAGGGTGTGGGGTTCCTTGGATAATTTGTCTTCACATGTCTCAAGTTTTTGAGGTTTTTAAAAATTTTCATTTTTATTTTGAAAAAAAAAGAAAATTAAATCTGTAATGTAATCTTATCCAGTGACTGAAGAGAGAAGCTGTGTTTGCATTATAGTCCCCAAAAAAGAAACATTCACCTCTGCTTTCATTGTAAGTGGAATGTCAACATTTATCTGTGTAAAGCAAACTGTGATATATCTACAGAGAGACAGAAGGAAGAGAGTTATCAAATATATCTTATATATATGCACATACTCATACACGCACACACATCTCCAGCAATTGTTATTTTTTAAATGAGCAATTCAGATGGTGTACCAGAGGAAAAACTATTTTGTTAAAGGAAAAAAATTAATTAATTCTTCAAGGGCCCTAAAATGAAATAAATACATAAATAACCCGTCATTCATTATTTTATTTTAATGTTTAACATAAGTGTGAGGTCTGCTTCTAATCTTTCTGTAGTTTGGAATGTGGTTGTTACTGCGTTTTGTAATTCTTTGCAGAGCTGATGTACACAGTTGAGCTTGCTGGTGGACTTGGTGCTATTCTGCTGCTGCTTGTTTGTTTAGTGACTATCTACAAGTGTTACAAAATAGAGATTATGCTCTTCTACAGGAATCATTTTGGAGCTGAAGAACTAGATGGAGGTAAGGCAGCTTCTTAGTATGTTTCCTACTTTCTAAGCATGCTTGTCTTTTATTTCTCTCCACCAAGGCCCAAATTTCATTTCAGTTCAAAATGCGTTAACAACCGCAATTTGTATTTCTCACTGCATTAGGCACTGACTTGAATATGCATTCCTCATACAGCACATTAGCAGCAGTGATTGCTGAGCTGATGTACGTGCTGTTCTCTGGAGCTCCAGAAGACATCCATGTCTTTTAGATTTTTATTCCAGACATTGAATGTAAATTACCAACATTGATGCATTAAAGATTTTCACTTTCTGTCCGTACTGAAAGCCAGCTTCACTTCTCCATAAGCTAGGGAGTGTCTTCCCTAATTGTATTCGCCAAATAGGTAGAGGTTGAAGTGAATCTCAATTTACTGCTTGTTTAAACCGATCAGTTTCAATAAACTGTACCAAGTGTTTGGAAAGGTACCAAGAAGTTAATTTTCTTGAGTTCATTTACTTAATCACTGAGAGAGTGGCTAATGGTCATTAAAGTTATTCTGTGATTCAAGGACATCCAGCCTAAACAAAAGTAATCAGCAGTGTATGCACCAGCTTGTGTCAAATGTATACATGCATTTTCTTTTCTTCTCTTTTTAAGCACTGAAGGAAAAGGTCTTCTTTGCGTCTAGCCCTACTAATCAAAACTGCTGTTGAGCAGCAAACTGGGTTGAGCTGCAGGCTCTGATTAATTAGGTTTTGTTTCTTGGGTCAGAGTTCCTGATGTTTTGTGCTACCACTACATCTTTGGTGACGGGACCTTCTTTTTTACTGAAATACTAATAAAAGTTATTTTACAGGTCAAGGTAATAGCCTGTGGGCAGAAGCCACTGTGACATATTAAAATAAATATGTACTGTTAAACAAGCACTGGCCAAATCTGTCATCAAGGGAGAGAAGCAGCAGCAGAATTAGAGGTCCTTATATAAGGGAAAGACTTCCATAATAAGATCACTATGGAATGACCCACTTCTGCCTCCCATCTAAAAATGCACAGGGATTCAAAATAGAAAATTCTCAGAACAACAAGCCCAAGAGCATTAGAACATTTTGTATCCTTCTACTGGATTTACAAAAAGGATGCATTAATATAGTAGCTCAGTGGGGCAAAAAATCAGGTTATTCTACTTATTTACAGAGGAGGAAACTGAGGCCCAGAAGGACTGTGACTCATGGAGGATTTTGGCAGACACCTTTTTTTTTTTTTTAGGAGCTGAGGTCCTCTGTTCTCCATAAAGCAGCCCAAAGTTTAAATAGGCATGCTTACTTGCATGAATTGTGTGAATGTAATAATAGTCATATTATATTATGCAGAAATAGACAGTTTAATAATTATTTAAATAGATGCAATTTAATGTTTTCTCTCTCAGTATCAGTAATTCTTACTTTTACAGCTGTCATTTATTGTTATCTCAAATCATTCCAATTCGTTTGCAAACTTACTCTACCAGGTGTTACACTTGACTTTCTCTCCTCCCATCCCAAACATTGGTCACATGGGAACAACAATACTTTAATCACACATTTTAAACAACAAAAGGGTGACCTTTAAAGGATACTGTTCTGGGATTTAAAACCAATATCCATTCAGTTTATCCTTCTGAGCAAAGTTCATCATTAAAGAAGATAAAGCATGGATTCTCCTTAGATGACCAATGGAAACACTGATATCTTGAGTGTTTAACTGCAGTAATATAAGAAGAAAAATACTACTTGCAGATTGCCAATGGAAACCTGTAGTTTCTACTGTATTCAATATCCTGGCAACACGGATAAAACCCATTGTGCCAATGAAGTTACTGCAGCTGGACTTTTTACTCTCTTTCACTTACACGCTTGCAAAAACAAGAAGACAGAGACAAAATGCCCCACAGAAGACCAAGCCATGGTTTGTGAAGAAATAAATTGCAGACATACCTTCAGATCCTTTCCTTTGGCTTAGTTTGTTACGGACAGACACAAAGTGCTGAACTCTAAAATCTTCTAACCGCATCTCCTGCAGTGCAACAGCAGAACACCCATGTGCTATTCACAATTTACACCATGTTCTGCTGTACTTCGGGACAGCATGTAGATAAGCAAACATCAAAATATCACAAGCTTTTTTTGTGTGCACTATATTATACCCAGAGAGGATTTCAAACACTTTAAAAGCGAGGTCCAATTAAAATTTTCAGTTGAAAATCTCTTCTTAAATGCAACACTTCATTTCTTCCCTGATCAGAGAACAAGCCCTTCAGGACGTCAAATCTCATCACAATTCCTCTTTCCTTTCCAAGCCTTAGACACATCAGTTTTTCCTCAAGCCAACATACGCATTTCCGTGGGAGGAATGGGTAAATTGTGAGAAATACTTGAAAACAAAGTATTCAACCCTTACAGCTAATGCAACTTAATTTATTACTTTTGGTAGGGGTACTGCAGATTAAGCAAGTGATCACAGCTGCTGATTCCTCATTTCTCTAATTTTCAGCTTTGAATTTCCTATTTTCTCTCTCATCCTAGGGACTAGACTCTGCTTCTGTTTTTTTTCTCTCTCCTACAAACACTTTAGCTCAGTTTTGCCTTTATTGTCTCCTGAGAACAAGCATTGAAGCCCCTTTTTTGTTTTCATGGTTAATTCCCTGCATTTTCTGCTAAATTGGAATATAATCAAATACAGCTCACATTTTGCCGCTTTTCCTCCCACTCTGTGCCTGTGCTTTCCAGATGCCTGGGAGCTGACTCCACATCAGGGGACTGCGTGACGGACACTGTGTTGTGTCCTTCGGTGTGGAGCAACGTGACGTGCCAGTGTTTAGTCAGGGGACCTCACTGTCAACGTCTGACAGATCCCCCTGGGAGCTGGAGCACAGGGGCAAGAAAAACACTCTGACCCTTGGCAAAACAGTAATTTTCTCACCTGCAGGTGTTTCGCATGACCTTGAGTCTCAGAGATATAACTCACTCCTACCAATTTGGTGGTCAGAAACTCCAAAATCTGTTTAAGTGGAGAATTTCAGTTCAAGATGTCTCCACATACAAGCTGAAAATGATACCTTGAAGTGCTATGCAAACAAAGAAATGTCCAGTATTATTCTGAAAACAATAAAATTTTAAGAAATAGATACTTCACTGGGAACTTCTGAGGGCTCAGCATTGTTATATGTCAGGCAACCTTTTTTAGGTTTGCAGCTCTAAACTTATAAGCTTATTTTAAAAAACCTTGTCCATAAAGTGCACCGTAAGGACTAACACATTATTAGTGAAAGCCACTTTTAGAAGTGATGGTTTCTTCTATTTTGCTGTACATTGAGCTCCAACACAAGAGATTTTATACCATGTTCATCTTCTGAGGAGTGTTTCAGCAGTTACTGTTTATGTATTTTTATTTTCCAAGGATCTTCTCTTGCTGCCTTTCCCAGTTTTTAAATGACTTGATGAACAAACTAAGTATTGTACTTTAACTAACAGAGAAGAATAAAAATGCAAGTAAACGTTCACAAGTACCTGCGATCAACACATGCCCTGACTTCTTGCCCTTGCACTCTGGGACCTTAATAGGCTGTTAGTACCAAAAGAGATATTACCACTGTATAGAGATCTGCTCTTTGCCTACGTACGAGCTGACTTCCAGGCCCCCTAAAATCCATGGAAATTTTCCCAGGATTTTACCTGGGACAACTTTCTCCTTTGTGAGACTGTTCCTGCTCATGAAATCATGCAAGGATCAGTCCCCAGGCATAACAGCCACAGCAGACACAGTGAGGGTGGAGAGGGGAGTCAGATCAGTTCTCCAAGCAGCACCATTTATGATGCTGCCTTAAAGCAGCCAGGAGGCTCAAAGTCACCAAAACAGCTATTTTCAACTTTTTATTGCCATTTGAAGACCTGAGAGTTTCCAGCAGATGTGCAAATGTCTGTATGCCAGCTTTAAGGTATACTAAGGATAAATCCAGAAGTCTACAGATGACAGGCTGAAAACCATTGAACATGATCAGATAGGCAAAATTACTCAAAATCACAAATTTATATATGTGTTTACATTCCAGATTCCAGTTTCAGTGAAAAGAGCATATGTTATAGTCAGCAATAGAAACAGTCTGCAGGCACCAGCCCCTAGCATTACCTGGGTACATTAGTAACCATTTAAAATGGTGGAAGTTTCTGTACGAAGGAATTAATAAGCAAGGGGTGAACACTATCATAAAAAATTCTACATTAAGAGGCTGGCATTAAAATTGATAAGAATAAAAAAAAATAGCAATTGAAGAGAAAGACTGAACAAATGTGCTGTAAATACTTTTCCAATGAAATTTACATAAATATCCTTTCTCACAACTAGGCTGATGAGAAGTCAAGCTTTAAGCTCAAGAACAAAAAACTTGTAGGCAGCTGATAACTAGAAAGTGAGAGCTTTGCTTAGCAGCTGATATGATGACCTTCACAATGACCCTTGGTGCCCTTAGGTCCCATCTGCTGTTTCCACAGTGTTGGTCAGGAGCTCCCCATGGTGTCCTCGATCTTATTCTCAGCTTTCCTTGCCAAGGCAACCTTGGTGAATTGAGGAAAGACATAGCCTCTGTGCAGCTGGGCTGTCGGCATGAAAGGCACCTGGGAGCCAGGGCTGGGGAGTTCCTCCGGGTTTCACTTTCAGTTCTGCAGGTTGCTGCT